TGGCCACCCACAGAACATAAAGGCTATTTTGGTCTCCACCATTCCTCCAGTCAGATTTTAAGATTACAAGCCATGGTGACAAATGACACACTATTTTATATAAGTGTGCCAGATACTGGTACATCACTTTCCATATTTTCTTGGAGTTTAGTTTAATCTAGTTGCGGGGGAACAAGAAGGAATATGTTCATAGCCTTTTCTGGACTAAACTGGGTGAATTAATACTAGTCTATGAGTAGAATTTAAAAATAATATTAACTCATCAGAAACTGGAAATTTTCTCTAAATTTCTACTGCAATATAGGGAGTACCAGGAGCTTGATGCTCATAGATGGCCTTGTGACCTACTTATTATATAGCATGTTATACCCATTCTTGAGGGAATTACAACAGCCATATCTTTTTCCGGAAGTGGATATTGAAAATATATTAATTCTATTCTGATGGAAAAAGAAAATCTCATCAATGCTGTGAGTTTCACTTCAATTTGCCTTTTGATATTCTGCTTAATGAGATCTTCTTATAGGCTGGTAATATCTTTTTATTGAGTATTTATTTTCATGTGAATAAATAAAAACTGATACTTTCTAAGAAATTTTGGGGTCTATTTAAGATACTTTGTGACTAAAACCAAAGCTGCTTCTAAATGAACAGCACCCATGCCTCAGTTTCAGTTTCAGATTTTCATGCTCAAAATGGGGGAATACCTTGCCTTCATTTACAGACTGGAATGTATTTGATACAGCTGATGGCTTCAAACTGATAAAGAGCTAAGTTCTGTCAAGGAAAGAGCATATAATGGTGGCTAGCCATGGATGTTTTAGCAGACCTGCTAGGACTTGCTACATGAATGGATGCCCCCTAACTTGCACTGGTTTTGGATAAAGGTCTCTCTTTTTTTTTTCCTGATATAATGATGCGCCTGTAACTTCTTTTTCAGGCCCTTAGTTCTTTCTTGTTCACTTCCCAGCTCTTTCACAGTGAGGAGTTACATGCCACAGATATAGACACAAACGTCTGGCTGCCAGATGTCAGAATCACTGCCCACAATCAGAGTGAAATATCCTGTAACCAGAAAGATTGGGTTCTGCTTAGGAGAAAGAGGACAAATAGCTGCTCATAGATAGATAGTCAGTACTGTTCTACAAAGGATGTCACGACTTTCTTGTTGAGTGACATCCTTCCCTCCACCCCCACATCTTTTAGCCAATACAATTTGCTCTTCATCTTTATCTTTTATTTCCTCCATTTTAACTCTCTTACTCCTCTGTCACCTCATCCCTGATGGACACCTTGAATGGTGCCAGTTGGCTAAAGCTGCACAATCTGCAGCAGAAGCTACCACTAGTTTATGTCATACCATGTAATATTTTCTAGTAAACACTGCCAGTAACTACACAAAAACCCTTCTGGGTCTCCCAATCTGACTTTAAATGTTGACTCATGTTCTTGATTACTTTCTAAACCTGTATGAAATATGAATTTTGTGTATGTAAGAATCCTATGCTGTGTTTGTGCTGCCTGAAGCAAAAATGTAATACAATACTAATCTTCTAATATTATGTAAAACTGATAGTCACACATACTTCATACAATCATGTGAAATCTGCCTGATAATGTTTTTAAAAATTGCACACTTTTCATCTGCTTTGGTAGAGTTTATCTTCAGCATATTCTTAATGCTAATAAAACTTTTAACTGAGATATGCATGTTTTAACAAGCATGGGAAGAGCTTGAAAGCTCTTGCAGCAAAAATTGCGATAACTTTCTCTTGTGAAAATAAAACTGTCTTGCTTACATAAGCAAGAGTATCACTCTACTCTTCATCTTCACATAAAAGAAAGGTAACAGGTCTCTGTTAGAGATGACAGTTCTTCCTACAGCTAGGAGGAATATGGCATGTATTGATTAATCTATATCCAGGCTTGCGAGTTTTAAGGAAAGGTGATTTCAACAGCTGAGGCTGTCACCGTTGGAACTGCATCAGAGCTATCCCAACAAGTAGTATTTGCTCCAGCCAGGGTAGTTAAGAGATTGTGAAGGATCATTCATATCCACTTTATTTAAAAACTGTGCTCTGAGGCCTTTCTCAACAAAGCAAGAGCAAGGATGGCTGCACTTCTGCTTTACTTCTGTGTTTGACTCAGACGAGTTTTCAGTTCACTAAATTTCACTCATTATTTCAATTCTGAGAGATACATGTATTAGGACTTGGATGGTAATATATATAGTTGCAATCATTTATTTTTTCAGTCTTGTCAGGAGAACTACCTGTTCAAACCATTCAATCTGCGGTAGAACCGGAATAGGACAGATAGCTTGGTTAGCTTGTAGCTATCAAGAAGTCTGTTAACATCAATCATTATTAAGAAATAGGGAAAAACAAGAATCTGTATCTCTAGATGAGGACCCAAGTACAAATCTGTTCCATTAGCCATGAAATCCATCACTGCATATTCTTATGCATTTATCAGCTGCACTCTTCAGAGCAACTCTATTATCTTTACATTTAGCTTGTATGGAGCTGTCTTTTTAAAATCTTTTCCCCCTGAATAGCTCACTGCACATTACTGAAGTTAATATTTATAAAAGGAATTCATAAGGAACAAAAAGATTTTTGTTTGCCCCAGCTTGGCAGAAGAAGACTTTTTAACCATAAAATGTAGAAAAAATAACTTTTCACTCTAAGAAGCCTAAACAACTGTATGGAGGAAAAATGCTCGAAGAGGAGCTACACAGAAGCAAAGCTAAATCTGCTTTCACTGGACGTGTAATTTTGATCACCCTCCCTGAAAATCTCTGCTTGACTAAAGAATAACATTTCCAAGAGCTAAAACGGGGCCCAGAGGATACGGATAAGGCAATCTAGCGACAACAACCAGCCTGGCCCGCTCTGAGGGCCAAACTTAGACGCAGAAGAGGGTCCCTCGGCT